ATAAACAATCCGGGACTCCAAAGGTCGGGATCAGGATGGGTCTTGTTGATGCTTGAATGCCGGGAGCAATAAAGTCGGCTTGCGTTCAGCTTGTGGTCTCCGCAAACCTTTCAATCATATCTATTATAGCAGATTATATCATATATCGTATCATTTTCAAACTTGTGGTCATCCAAAGCCCTTAGATCCATTATATTATATTATATTATATTATATTATATTATATTATATTATATTATATTATATTATATTATATTATAGTATAGTGTATTATAGTATTATTATATATTATATTATATAATATATACACACTTGTGGTTTCCTAGATCATGTAGATAGATAGATGCTAATATTGTATTATTTATATTCAAGCTTGTGTATAGCCTTTAGTTCTGATATAGATAGATAATTATATTTATTATATTAATATACTATTATTTTCAAGCTTGTGGTCTCCTGTAGACTTTAGATCTGATATTATATTATATTATATATTATATTATATTAATATACTATTATTTTCAAACTTGTGGTTTCCTATAGACTTTAGATCTGATCTAAATATATTATATTATATTATATTATATTATATTATATTATATTATATTATATTATATTAATATACTGTTATTTTCAAACTTGTGGTCTCCTATAGACTTTAGATCTGATATAGATAGATTATATTATATTATATTAATATACTATTATTTTCAAACTTGTGGTCTCCTATAGACTTTAGATCTGATCTAAATATATTATATTATATTATATTATATTATATTATATTATATTATATTAATATACTGTTATTTTCAAACTTGTGGTCTCCTATAGACTTTAGATCTGATATAGATAGATTATATTATATTATATTAATTATATTATATTAATATATTATTATTTTCAAGCTTGTGGTCTCCTATAGCCTTTAGATCTGATATCGATAGGTTATCATATCATATTATATTAATATACTATCATTGTCAAGCTTGTGGTCTCCTAAAACCCGTAGAACCTATTTATTATATTAATATACTGTATTATTTTCAACCCTATATATATTGGAGCTTTCCCATTAAGATCTTAAATCTCCTTTGTGAGTCAAACAGACAAGACATACATTAACTTTAACTTCACCTTTATATAGATAGATAGATAGATAGATAGATAGATAGATAGATAGATAGATAGATTCCTTGAGTTGGAAGAGACTCCAAAGTCCATCCAATCAAACCACCTAGATAGATAGATAGATAGATAGATAGATAGGAAGATGGGAGATAGATAGACTGATTGATAGACAGATGGATGGATGGATGGATGGATGAACTGGTAGGTAGGTAGGTAGGTAGGTAGATGATAGATAGATAGATAGATAGGAAGATATATTGATAGACAGATAGAAAGATGGACAGATGGATGGATAGGTATATAGATAGATAGATAGATAGATAGATAGATAGATAGATAGACTGATAGACTGATAGACTGATAGACTGATAGACTGATTGATAGATAGATTGGATGGATGGACGGACGGACAGGTAGGTACGTGGATGGATGGATGGATGGATGGATGGATAGATAGATAGATAGATAGATAGATAGATAGATAGATAGATTGAATGGATGGATGGATAGACGGACAGACGGATAGATAGATGATAGATAGATAGATAGATAGATAGATAGATAGTACAAACATCGATAGATAGATAGATGGATAGGTAGACAGATAGATAGACTGATAGATAGATAGATAGATAGATAGATAGATAGATAGATAGACGGACAGACGGATGGGTAGGTAGGTAGATAGATAGATAGATAGATAGATAGATAGATAGATAGATAGATAGAGATAGGAAGATGGGAGATAGACTGATAGGTATATGGATGGATGGATGGATGGATGGATGGATGGACCGACGGACAGATAGATAGATAGATAGATAGATAGATAGATAGATAGGAAGATGGGAGATAGACTGATAGGTATATGGATGGATGGATGGATGGATGGATGGATGGATGGACCGATGGACCGATGGACAGATAGATAGATAGATAGATAGATAGATAGATAGATAGATAGATAGATAGATAGGATGGGAGTTAGACTGAGATAGATGAATTGACAGATAGGAAGATGGGAGATAGATCGGTAAATAGATGGATGGATAGGTAGGTAGGTAGGTAGGTAGGTAGGTAGATGGATAGATGGATGGATGGATGGATGGATGGATGGATGGACGGATGGACAGACAGGTAGCTAGGTAGATAGATAGGAAGATAGATAGACAGATAGATAGATGGACAGATGGATGGATAGGTAGATAGATAGATAGATAGATAGATAGATAGATAGATAGATAGATAGATAGATAGACAGATAGATTGGATGGATGGATGGATGGATAGATGGATGGACGGAGAGGTAGGTAGGTGGATGGGTGAATAGATAGATAGATAGATAGACAGACAGACAGACAGACAGACAGACAGACAGACAGATAGATAGATAGATAGATAGACTGATAGATAGATTGGATGGATAGATGGACGGACGGACGGACGGAGAGGTGGGTAGGTGGATGGGTGAATAGATAGATAGATAGATAGATAGATAGATAGATAGATAGATATAGATGGATGGGTAGGTAGGTAGGTAGGTAGGTAGGAAGATAGGAAGATGGGAGATAGACTGATAGGTATATGGATGGATGGATGGATGGATAGATAGATAGATAGATAGATAGATAGATAGATAGATAGACTGATAGATAGATAGATAGATAGATAGATAGATAGATAGATAGGATGGACGGATAGATAAATACATAGGTAGATTCCCTGAGTGGGAAGAGACTCCAAAAGGCATTCAGTCCAACCCCATAATTAGATTGATCAAGAGCAAGATAGATAGATAGATAAGATGGATGGCTGGATGGATGGATGGCGTGCGCTAGCATGGAGGAGTCTGCCCTCGGCACAGAAAGTTTGGGAAGTAGATGTTCCGGGTGCGGAAGGGTGCTGCGCGGAAGCAGAGGCTGGCGGCCTTGTCGCACTCGCAGGTCATGCGCTGGCACAGGGTTTGCCCACCTGGGGAACAACACAACAACAAGTAAACAAAGGGTTGTGCAACTGCGTGGTTGCCGCTGCCTTCCTGCGAAGCTGAGAGAGAGTGGCTTTCCCAATGCTGTTTCTAGCCATAGTCCCTGCTGGCGATGTCCGTCTTTCTTCCCTTCTTTCCTCTCATACACCTTCTCTGCCTGACCTTCCTTCCTTCTTTCCTTTTCTCTTCCTTCCTCCCTCCCTTTCTTTCTCTTTTTGTACGTTTTGTCCTTTCCTTTCTCAACCCTTCTTTTTCTTTCTTTTCCCTCCCTTCATCCCTTCTTTTCCCCCATCCTTTCTTTTTCCTTCTTTCTAGCCTTATACCCTTCCCTCCTTTTTCTTTCTTCTTCCCTCTTTCCTCCTTCTCTATCTTTTGTTTCTCTTCCCTTCTTTTCTTTCTCTTCCTCCCTCCCTCCCTTCTTCCTTCCTTCCTATCCCTTCCTCCTTCCTTCTATACCCCCTTCCCTCTTTTCTTTCCTTTCCTCCTTCTCTATCTTTTGTTTCTCTTCCCTTCTTTTTCTTTCTCTTCCATCCCTCCATCCTGTCTTTCTTCCTTCCCTTTCTATTTACTTCTTTCTTTTTCTATCCTTTCCTCTCCTCATACCTTTCCCCTTCCCTTCTTTTTCTTTTTTCTTCCTTCTTTCCTCCCTATCTTTTGTTTCACTCCTTTTTCTTTCTCTTCCATTCTTTTTCTATCCTTCCCTCCCTTCATACCTTCATACCTCCCCCTTCTCTCCTTTTTCTTTTTTCTTCCCTCTTTCCTCCTTCTCTCTCTTTTGTTTCCCTTCTCTTCTTTTCCTTTCTCTTCCATCCCTCCCTCCATCCCTTCTTTCTTCCCTTTCTATTCCCTTTTTTCTTTTGCTATCCTTCCCCTTCCCTCCTTTTTCTTTATTCTTCCCTTTCCTCCCTTTCCTTCTTTTTCTTTCTTTTTCATCCCTTCTTCCTTCCTTCCCTTTCTATTCCTATCTTTCTATCCTTCCCCTTACCTCCTTTTTCTTTCTTCTTCCCTCTTTCCTCATTCTCTCTCTTTTGTTTCCTTCCCTTCTTTTCCTTTCTCTTCCCCCCCTCCATCACTTCTTCCTTCCTTCCCTTACTATTCCCTTCTTTCTTTTGCTATCCCTCCCCTTCCCTCCTTTTTCTTTCTTCTTCCCTCTTTCCTCCCTCTCTATCTTTTGTTTCCCTCCCCTTCTTTTTCTTTCTCTTCCATCTCTCCCTCCATCACTTCTTTCTTCCTTCCTTCCCTTTCTTTCTTTTTCTATCCTTCCCTCCCCTCATACCTTTCCCCGTTCCCTTTTCCTTTTTTCTTCCCTCTTTCCTCCCTCCCTATCTTTCATTTCTCTCCTTTTTCTTTCTCTTCCATCCCTCCCTTCATCCCTTCTTTTTCCTTTCTGTTCCTTTTCTTTTCCTATCCTTTCCCTTCCCTCCTTTTCCTTTTTTCTTCCCTCTTTCCTCTTTCTCTTTCTTTTCTCGTCCCTTTTTTCTCTTTCTGTCCTTCCTTCTCCCATAGCTTTTCCTTCCCTCCTTTTCCTTTCTTCCTCCCTCTTCCCTCTGTCCTTCCTTTTGCTTTTGTCTTCCTTTTCCCTTCTTTTTCTTTCTCTTCCTGGCTTTCTCTTTCTTTTTTCCTCACTTTTCCTTTCCATCCTTCTTTTTCTTCTTCTCTCCCTTTCTTTCCTCATGACTTTTTTCTTTCCTTCCCTTAGATCTTTCATTCTTTTCTTTCCTCTTCTATTCCCTTCCCTTCTTTTTGGCTTTCTTTCCTTTCCCTTCCCTCTCTTTTCCCTTCCTCCCGTCTTCTCAAGCCTTTCACCTTTTCCTTTCTTTTCCTCCCTCACTCCTCCTTTTTTTTCCTTTTTTCTTTCCTTCCCTTTCTTCCCCAGTGACATCACAGAAGGCCACTTCACCCAGCAACAGGTGAATAGATAATTATTCTATCCTACCGCAAACTATGGTTCCACTCTGGAAAAAATAGGAATAAATCTCCATTTTGGGGTTGCATCCGAGCTCAGACATCTTTCCGTAGCAGCAGTCATGGACCTGGCAGCACCTGGAAAAAGGGGGAAAATGCAGTTAGAAAGGATTAGCTACTGGCCTATAAATTTGTATGCATGTAGTGCTCAGGTACAGCCACAAGAGGGCAGTGTACTGATAGAAAGGATCAGCCTTTAATTATATATATTAATACAATGTTTGGATGCAACCACAAGAGGGCAGCATAGAGATAGAAAGGATCAGCCTCTAGGTCAGTATGTATGCAATGCTCAAGTGCTGCCAGAATAGAGCAGCATAGAATAGAAAGGATCAGGCTCTAGGTCAGTATGTATGCAATGCCAGGTGCTGCCAGAAGAGGGCAGCATAGAGATAGAAAGGATCAGCCCCTAGGTCAGTATATTTGCAGTGCTCGGGTGCAGCCACAAGAGGGCAGCATAGAGATAGAAAGGATCAACATCTAGTTATATATGTGTGTGTGTGTGTGAATGCAATGCTCAGGTGGAGCCACAAGACGGCAGCGTAAAGATAGAAAGGATCAACCTCATATATTAAGCTTGGGCAATCCATGGTTCTAAATGGTCCTAAAGTACTTACAAAACTAAAGTTCTGGTGGTGAAAATTTCAGAACTCTAACAAAACTCTCAAAATTTCATAATAAATGGCAGTTCCTAATTGGTTCTGTCATTAAGAGGGAAGCATAGAGATAGAAAGGATCAGCCTCTAGTTATATATATATATACTAGCTGTGCCCTGCCATGCGTTTCTGTGACCAACCTTCCCTTCCTCTTTCTCTCCTTCTCTCCCTCTTTCTTTCCTTTCTTCTTTTTCTTTCCCTATCTCTCATCTTTCTTCCATCTCTACCTGTTTCTTTCCTCCCTTTCTTTGCTCTTTGGTTCCTTCCTTACTTCCCTATCTTTTGTTCCTTCTCTCCCTTCCCTCTCTTTTTCCTTTCCCTTTTTTTATTTCCTTCTCTCCTTTCTTGCTTCTCTTTCTTTCTTTCCTTCTTTCCCTCCCTGCTTCTCTCCTTCCTTCCCTTTTTCCCTCCTTCTCTCGTTACTTCTTGACTGTCCCTTCCATTTAATATTGTATT